TCGTCTACCCGTGCAGCTCAGGCATGGCCACGTAGCCGTCACGAGGGAGGCGCCCGGGCGGCCTCGCCTCCGGACCGCGCCGTCGGGCGGCGCGGGCCCCCCCGGGGGCCCCCGCCGCCCGGGGGGCGGGGCCCCGCGGGCGAGGCGAGGAGGGCTGCAGGGTTGGCACTGGCGGCTCGGGGCGGCCATGCCCGGACCTGTTTTTCGAGCCAAAGCAGTCCTCACGGCCGTGCTTGGTTGATAGATCCTTTTTGGTGTGACGTGGTCTGATCACAACGGAAACTGCCAGGGCACCAGGTCCAGTCGGCTTGGCTGCGGGATTTTGTCTGGTAGCCGTGAGCCAGCTCGGAAGATAACATGCAAATCACAAATGGAGTTGGAAAAGGAGGGGGGAAACACACACAGATGAGGAGGAGGGGAAGACACACACAGGCACAATGAATCTTCGACTCCCAGGAAAAAATAGTGGAAGATATGGGAGGTGTGGGGGGGGGGGGCAGGCGAAGCTCCAGAGAATGCCAGAAGATATGGGGCATCCTGGGATTCGTCTGTGCATTTCTTCGTGTGTCCCTGGGCCCCTTCAGTGAGGCGGTAGACCGGGGGAGGGTGGCCAAGAGCGGGTAGGGGGCCCCAGGGGACGCAGCGGAACGACGCAGTGTGACATGGAGGCCTTCTGCAACGGCGTCACGTTGCAGAAAGCCTCCATGGGCTCGTCGCCCTGAACCGCCTCTGGCAAGGCTCCGCGGCGCTCGTGGCGCGGCTCCCCTGGCATGAATTCGGAAACCGCCCTGTCGACGTAGTTGACGTGGCCCCAACAAACCGCGGACTGCGAGTCCAAGTATGAGACGGAGAACGCCACAATCGAGATGAACGCCGAAGCGAAGGCCGTGAGGACCACTGCTTAGATGGTACAGCAGCAGGTGCGAATCTGAAAGTCGTCCGGTAGTGGTGCATTTGGATAAGACGGGTACGGAACTGAACAGGGATCAGCCTCCTGGCAGCCGGCGGCTTGACCCAGAGCGGATTGAGCCAAAGGCGTGAGCCAGGGCTTGAGCCAACGGGGATGCGGAGGCATGCACACACATGCGCAGATAGTTATGTTTTTGCTATCGGCGGCCCAGAGGGTGGCCAATGGGGCGGCGCGGCAGCTGGCAGCTGGCCCCAGCAACGGCCATAGCGATCAGTCGTTGTGACTGACTGCGCAAGCCAGTCGTAACGTGTCCACGTACGAAACGCGGTCAACGCATCTTCGGGTGCGCACGCGCGATCGCTGGCCAAAAGCCCACGCCCCAAATGCAAAGGCACACATACATCGCAATGGCTATTTGCAGTGCCGTTCCTGTGTGCACCACAGTGCTTGGGTACAGCACAGTGCCTAAGTGCACCTCACTGCCTGCGTACGCTGCAGTGCCTGTTGCGATTGTGTGCGCAACAGGTGCGCGTGGTTTCACTGTCCGTGTGCACCGCGGGCTTCCTGTAAACGCTCCATGCGTGCACCAACATGCCAGAACGACCACGTTGAAGTGCGCTGGGTGCATTGCGCTGTATGTTCGCCCGTGCAGTGTCTATCTTTCCGCATCACAGCGGATACCTATGCCACTGCGCTTGCGCACACAACAGTGTTAATGTAATCATAACGCCTGTGCACACCATGCTCCCTGTGTACAGTGCAGTGATTTGTGTCCACCGCGGTGCCTGCGCGCGCTTCAATGTCTTCGTGCACCACAGTGTTTGTGTACACCGCGGTGCCCTTGTATACCCCAGCGATTTGTGTGCACCAGATCGTCAGTGTTCAATGCAGCATCTGTGTGCACAACAGGCGCGTATGCACAATGTTGCTTGTGTGCTTATTTGGCTGCCTGTGCATATTGCTTGCGTGCACAACGACATTTGAGCGCCAACATGTGTATAGCTTGTATGTACACACCACCTCTAATGCCCATGCCACTACGTGAATGTACACTACATTGGGTGTTTGTTCAGCGCTAATTCCCAGCGTGCACCAGACAGTTTGTGTACACCTGAACCACGCTGCTTATGTAGACTCCAGGTGATCGCGTGCAACACAGGGTTGTCGACAACACAGGCGCGTGGACACCACACTGCCGAAACACCCACGCGTGCGCATACCGCAGAAGTCGCAATGCTCACACGCACCGTGTTCTTAACAAGCATGTTTGGTTTCACGTGGCAACCGAAGTTACGAGGGGGCCGGGTGAACATGTTGGAGCGATGCCGTGGCGCAGTGGGGTGGGGGTGGGGTGGGTAACGAGCGTTGCGCGCAAGGGTCAAATTAGCCTGGCGAAGAACCCAGCCCTTGGTACACGAGTGGCGACTACAAACAGCACCACTGCAAAGATGCCAAGCTGGTTCTGAGTCAACATGCGGACCTTGCCACTGGACCCTTCGGTGGAGCTCCCTAAGGGGCAGCGAAACGTGTGAAGGGTGCGCTAAAATGAACCCGAGTTGCCGTGCTGACCCTGCCACTGGGGCCTTCGGTGGAGCTCCTTTGGGGCTAGGGAACGTGTAGGAGGTGTTCTGACATGGACCAGAGTGACCATGCGAACCCTGCCAGTGGAGCTTTCAGTTGAGCACCTCGGGATTCTACGAAACGTTTGAGAGGTGTATCGACATGCGCCCGAAGCGCCGTGTGAACCGTGCCGTTGGAGCCTTCAGTGGGGCTCTATATGGGGCCAAGAAACGTTGTAAGGGGTGGGTCGACATGGGCCCGCGGCGCTATGCGGACGCAGCCAAGGGGGTCTTCGGTGGAGCTCCCTATGGTGCGACGAAGCGTGGGAGGGGTCTGTCCAAATTTGCCCGAGTTACCATGCCGACCCTGCCACTGGTGCCTTCAGTGGAGCTCCCTATGGGGCCACGAAGCGTGTGAGAGCTGTGCCCCACTGGGCCCGAGTCACCATGCGGACCCTGCCACTGGGGCCTTCGGTGGAGCTCCCTGGGGGGCCACGACACGTTTCAGGGGTGTGCCGAAATGCGCCCGAGTCACCATGCGGACCTTGCCACAGAAGCCTCCGGTGGCTCCCCATGGGGCCACGAAGCCTGTCAGTGGTGTGCCAGAGAGGGCCCGACTCACCATGCGAAGGCTGCCACTTTCGCTTTCGGTGGAGTTTCTTGTGGGGCTACGAACGTGGAAGGGAGCCCTAGCACATTGGAACGGCTCGTGAAGCGTGAGCGGGGCGAAGCGATATGAGGGAGGCGACGCTATGCAGACGGAGCTCCCCATTGGGCCACGAAACGTTTAATTAAGGGGTCACGTGCAGCCATTGGGGCTTTCGGTGGAGCTTCCTTTGGGGCAGCAAAACGTGCAGGGGTGTGCCAAGATGGACCCGAGTCCGCATGTGGACCCTACCACTGGGGCCTTCGGTGGAGCTCCCTACTGGGCCACGAAGCGTGTGAGGGGTGTGCCAGAATGGAGCCGAGTCACCAGGCGGACCCTGCCGCTGAGTTAGTTTGGGGGGGCTCCTTTTGGGTCAGCGAAGCGCGTGAGGGGTGTGCCAATGGGGCCACGGAACGTGTGAAACGTCTGCCGCAATGGACCCGAGAAACCATGCGGACTTTGCCAGTGAGCCTTCGGTGGAGCCCCTTTGGGCCAGCGAAACGTGTGAGGAGTGTGGCGACACGGTGATGTGTGAGGATGGCGGTGACGAGTATGAAGGCGATGATGTTGACGACGACGATGATGATGATGTTGATGATGACGATGACGATGACGACGTTGCTGTTGTTGTTGTTGTTGAACATTATTAATTCTAAAGAATAATTATTGTTGGGCCCCCTGGTGCGCGCCCCCCCCGCCGCGCCTAGGCCGCAGCCACGTTTTCATCATTTTCGTGAGGAAGCCTCAGGTAATTCGAGGTGATCAAGATCCGGTTGTTTTGTTGTAATCCGTTTTCCCTTGCAAAAAACACTATAAAATGACATTTCTTGTTCTAATATAATCAAATTTCAAGAATCCCTTGTAAAAAATAAGGTAAAGTGGACATTCGCGCGCGCAAGACGAAATCCTTCCAAAAGCTTAGTGTTCGGAGCGATTTCAACATAAAAACATCAAAAAACCAATGGTTTTTCAACAAAAAAATGTCAAAATCTCATCCCGCGCGCTCTTGCGGATTCGTAGGAAACCCAACACTTTTTAAACATTTCTGTCAAACGGGCTTTTGCGAGCAACTTTTTCGAACTTCTGCGACAACGGTTGCGCACCTGCCAGGGCCATCATCCCTGTCAAATAATACCATGCGGGACACATTCGTTTTTTCTTCGCGCGCGCACGCCGAAATCTCCAAAAACCATTGGGCTTCTTAAGAATTTTAGCACCGCGCATCATAAAATCACACGAATCGCACCGTAGGTCCTCGAAAAACACCTGCACGACTTTTCAAAATTTCTACCCGCGCGCGCTGTCCGAATCCTAAAAAAACCAATGGTTTTCCAACATTTATGTTACATGAGCTCGCGCGAGCTACTTTCGCACGCTCTTGCAACGGGGTTCGCGCGCCTGCCAGGGGCAGATGTTCTGTGGAAGGCTTAACAACTTCTGTGGGTTAACAAGGCTTAACAACTTCTGTGGGTGTACGAACGTAGGCTTAACAACTTCTGTGGGTGTGTACTCCACGCCAGTGTAGTAGCCACGGTCGTCCGCAGGCCACGAAGTGAAGTGTCCGAACGTCATAGGGCGGGAAGCTGGGTGTGGGTGGTGGCGAAGAGTCGTGTGGATATTTGGTAGAGCTTGCACTGCCCCCCCACAAAGTGGGGGTATTGGCTGGCGTCGCATGAAAACCCTGGCACTGGTGAGAACACTGAGCGTTCGGGTAAAGTGATTGTTGTTGTTGTTGTTGTTGATGATGATGATGATGATGATGATGACAAGGATGAGGAGGAATATGAGAGGGGGGGTGGAGGAGGAGGAGTACGAGGTGGGGCGTGGCGCTGTGGATTCGAAACGGGGACCCAACACCTAGGAGGGTTGGGAAAACAATGTCAAGGATGGATATTCGGATGCGAATTGCATTCTCTACGGTCTGAACGCTGGCGCCCCGGACATCACATCGGGCCCGACGCAGTGCCCTGGATGCATCATGGACGGGCACGACACTGGTGGCTCGGAAAACGTCTGCGGTTATGCTGTCGAGGTGAAAATCGTTGCAACCACCGGCTATGATTTCAGCGAGCCGTCCTGGATCGCGACCAAGGGCATCCCGACAGCGCACGCGGACAACCTCAGGACGCCGTATGATTGCAGGATGCTCTGCTTGAACGAGACCGGCTGCGCCTTCTTCGCTTTCGATGCATTGAAGCAGCCGGGTAAGGGCTTCTGCGTCCTCAAGCAGTCGTATGACCACCCGTCATGCGCGCCACAGTTTCAGGAGGATGAAGACATTGCTTCGGGCCCGGCCTATTGCGGAAGCACAGACTCGTGCGGGATTCTCAAATCGTATTACACTGTGGACTCGTGCTGTGCCGCCAGTACTACATCTGCCGACAGCGGCGTCACGTCGTCAGAGACCACGTCATCAGAAAATCCCAACGAAGCTTCGTCCGCCTGGGGGTCCTCTACTTTCCCAGTCACCACGGCAGTTCTCTTATGTTTGGTTTACGGGGTGAGTTGCGTTTCCAAGAAGCTCCCGTGAGGGCCCCGCCCCTTTGAGCAGGTGCACAGCGCGTGTGACTCTCCCGCGGTTTTTTTTTTCCCGCTACCCGTGGCTGATGTTCTTCTCACCGATTCTGTTCGCTTCGCGGCATGAGTGTCTGGAGACCGTTCCCACGGGGTCTTGCGACAGCATTATCTGCGTTTTTTTCTTTCCTCCTCTTTCTTCTGTTCCTTCTCCCCTCCTCCTCCTCCTCCTCCTCCTCCTCCTCCGCCTCCCTCTCTTCCTCCTCCTCCATCTCTTCCTCCTCCCCCTCCTCCTCCTCTTTCTTTCTTCCCATCGCTCTCCCATTACAATCCTCCCACTCCCCAACTCCCACTCCCCCACTGCCTCTCCAACTCCCCCACTCTCTCACTCTCCCGCTCTCGCACTCCCGTTCCCGCGCCCAGTTCCAGCCCTGCCCCCATTCTCGGCCCAAGCCATACCGCCACTCCTACTCACGGTCCCAATCCCGGTCCCACCCACGCTCCATTTCCAACTGTCATACATTCCCAGTCTCCCCCCCCCACCCTTCAGGATGCACGGGTTCCTCCCGCCCGCGAGCCCGGGTCCCCACAAAACACACGGGTTCATTCACGCATCTCATGCGAATCGTGATTCACATGGAGCTCCACACACAGCTCTATACAGCGATGGCATTCCTAAGCGTCCCCTGAAAAAAAGGTTCATCACCAACGTGACATGGAGTTGATACGTGATTGTTGTGACCCTCGCCAGGATAATTGTGCAGATGATGTTTTGCGGCTTCTTGGCAGAAACATTGATACAGGCAGGACTCATGTAGAACCCGCTGATCTTTGAACGCGTTCGGCCTCTCATGGAAATGCTGGAAAGTTGTTTTGGAATATGTTGGGGATCTCTTGGGGTTTCCCTCGTGTCTGTTCGGGACTTCTTTTGGGCGTCTGAGCGGGGGCGATCGGGGGCTCGACGCAGGTCTGCGTCGAAGCGGGGGGGAGGAGGCATCTGCACACCGCTCAGAAGTCCACCCAATCGTATTCTAGCACGCCTCAGCGTGCCAGGAGGCACGGCGGTGGAGTTGTGTTGCTTCGGCTGCTGATGATGATGATGCTGCTGTTGATGGTGATGGTCTGGATGCAGGTGCTGACGATGATGGCGGTGATGATGATGGCGGTGATGATCATAATGGAATTGCTAGAACAATTCCTCCGCTGTCTTTGTGCCGCCGCCGCCGGATCGTCGCCGCTGCCGATATTGTATGTATCGGGCCGCAGTTGTGTAGTTGTTCGAGCAGGCTCCGCGGGCCTGCGGTCGTATAGGAAAGCGGGCGCGCGTGCCGCATCGTCGCCGTATCGTGGTATCCCTTTCTCTTGCGCATGCGATATACACTACAGCTGAGCGGACACAACCGCCATGTCGTTACACGACAACCAGACAATTGGGGATAGTAACTTCCTGGCGAATGCATGGCTATCCGCCGGAAAGCAAGAGGTTGCAGCCGAAGCGCAAGCGGATAAGGCCGAAGTTGCCGACCGACTCAGGCGCACAATTTGTATCAACCAAAATTTTTGGAAGTAGCGTGATGACTGTTTTGGCAGATCGGCCCCCCCAATGCCGTGTTCCCATGTCGCTGATTGATATTTGTCCCATCCATTCTCCCGAGAAGGCTTCGTTGTCGGTTCGACCACCGGCGCAGGATGCGGATATTGGCCGCGAGTTGTTCGATTTCGCATACCCATCCGCGATAAGGTCAATGAGTGAGCTCGTCGACAAAGGGAGGACGTCATATGCTTTGGTTCCGAGAGGAAGAGCCGATGCCAAAGCGACCCAAGGGGGCCAGGGACATCAGTATAGGCCATGATTCGCCACTGGAAGTTTCCGCGTCAACCGGGGGCCCAGCAGAAGTCAATCATGAATTTCCGTGTAATTGGACAACTGGTAGGAGCGATGGGCGAACTTTTGTCACCTACTCAAACCACGAGACGCCCCAAGCTCAGGTCCCCTCTGATGGCAGTCGTAACTCCAACAGTCTGTCTCGCCATTCGCCGTCAAGTCGCATCTCGATAATGGTATGGTGCTGGACCCGGGGCCGTCATGTCCGTAGACAGCAGAGAATCGATGCCCAGGGAGAGGAGGAAATGTTAACGGTCCATGCCGTCGGCCCTTGCGTGGAGCTTCTTTTAGCACTTGCGGGCATTGTGGCGTCAAATCTATTTGCGCAGATGGCATAGACATGGCGCGCCATAGTGGTCAGCATTTCATGATTCTTGCTGGGCCAAATAGATGCAGCGAGAATGCTGCTGCTAAAGAAAAAACAGCGCAGCGACCAGATGATTGCTCAACTACAGGAAATTGAGCGACAAAAAACGACCAACTTTGGCAGTTGCAACTCGACAGAAAGAGCCTGCGATTTTTCGCACAGCAGGCGCGTCTGAACCAACTGGCGACCTCGGAGGCGGCTCAGCCGCCCCTGCTGGAAGTTGAGCGCAGCATGAAGAAATGGAAGAAGAAACGAAATCGGTGATATTGGACCAGGGAAAGAATAAGAAAGGGGAACATGGTTGACAAAGAACAGTAGAGGCAATGCCATCTCTTGGCTGTCGGAGAGGCAGCGTGGATTTCCGAGCAGAGGTTGGAAGTAGCCCTGTAAGAAAAGGACAGCTCAAGCCGCTGTTGCGACGCAGCAGGTCAGGGGGCGCGCGACCGCCGCGGTGCAGCGGGCGTTGCTTCGGGGGCAAGCTGCCGCCGAAGCCGTCGGGGAATTGACGGAAGAAGTGAACAATATCAGCGAAGGCGCGATCAAACAAGAGCAGGCGCAAGCGAGATTGACATTTACCCGAGGAGAACATTGCCGTATTAACGAAGCGAAGAGCGGAGGCCATTCGGCATTGCAGGGGCAGCCCGCGGCGCCCGATGGCACCGCCCTGGATGGGCCTCGAAGCTCCCCCACGTTGCAGGTTCAACCTTCGGCGATGGAAGGGCTCGCGCCGGCGCGGCAGGTTCAACTTGCGGCGTTCGGACATCCTGCAGGCCAGACTGTGGGATTGGAACAGATCCTTAATGGCGCGCCGCGCTTCCCTGCGGTGGCGGCGCAACGTGGAACTCGCCGGGTCGCCCCGCTGGCACGGCCTGAAGGTCTGTCTGAAAAACAGTCCGGTACCGCGGGGGGGTCTGTAGCCTACCCCTTAACATTCCCGGTCGAATCGGAGACGGAGATGGGGGAGGTGGAGACGCGCCCAGAGGTTGGGGGGGGCGCAGGGAAGGGCGGCGGGGGTAATGGACCAACAGCCGCAAACAAAGTCCCCATGATCAATGGAGACAGGCAGGACGGGCAACTGATTTTGATGCTTGTCCCACAATTGGGCTTCGCGACTGGAAGTTGCGCCCCGCGCGCGCCGCGCCCCCCTCCTCTCCAGATGTGGAAGGTGATCGGCCTTGGATCGGGGATGCAATGGACCAGACATTAGATGCTTCTGTCCCCGAAGACCCAGGGCGGTTCAGACGCCTTCACATGCTCATTGCGCGGACTTCATTGATCAATTCACCGAGATGCGGCGGCGGAAGGGCCTGGCCGTTCAGCAGACGCACTTCGCCGCGCAGATGGATTGAGCGGAGCGCAAAGCTCAGCGTAACAGGTGGTCGTTAGCAGGGCGCGAGATCACGCGCGTTATTTGCGCTCGTTGCCCCTGCGAAAAGAGCGCCATAGAAACGACGTCTGTCGGGGCCTTCTAAATTTTGCCATCGGCGAGAACTGCCGGGGCGATGACTTGCGCCACTTTTATCATGGATGGATGGCTGCCCATCGTGATCCGCGTGGAGGAGATGCTCCCTCTGCCGAGATGGCAGCCCCGATGCATGCGCATCTCTACGCACAAATGAATCGCGTGCCCATCATGAGAGCAGCACTTGGATGGCTCGAGGTTTGCGCGGGCGAGATCGGATCCAGCTTCCGCACTCGCGAAAGGTTGCTTGCCCATCTGTAAACGCGAGCGCGACAGGGGCGCGGCAAATTCAATCTTGTTCGTTGGTAATGACATTCAACCAGGATGGAACATATCGGCGGGGTCGAAGATGGTCGAATGAAAAAAGGGAGGTCGCATGCTAGTTCGTGGTGCCGGGGAAAGTGTGCCCGGGGCAGAAGCAGGGCTGCCCCTGCCCCCGTGAGTGGCCCGGGAAGCCCCTGCCGCGCCGCCTGTTCAGCCGGGGGCAAAGGCTGAGGCTGCGCCGGCAAAAGATTCTTGGCTGGCGCAGCGAGGCGATTTGGGCAGCCCCGAGAAGGACAAGGACAATGGCGAGGGCAACTTGCGAGATCGATCGGCCACCCCCGGCCCCGCCGATCCCAGGCGCCCCTCCGCGAGCTCCTTGAGAGAGCAGCAATTTGCAATTGTTTTCTTTGCGCGCGTCCGCGGCCAGTTCAAAGGCCCCTGAACAATCCCCCGCGTTATAGACAGCGTAGGGCGCTGGCAGACGCCGAAGTTCTGGGGCAAATCACTGATGGGAGAAAGCCCTGATCAGGACGGGAAAGAGTATTGGGTGCGATCGCATTCCAAAGCGCGCCAGTTCTGCGGCAGCTAACGTTGACCAGGCCCGCGCGGCCCCTGCGCCGGCGGCCAGAGCGGCGGCCAGAAAGAGTTTGATAAGACAGGAGGGGCGGCAGGGGAAAGGGAAATGCCCCTTGCTGGCGTCGGCGGCAGACGAAGGCATGCCCATTCGGGACACGGTGTAAATTCCTTGGTGATCCTTCAGGACGCGAGTGATGTTTGTGCCCATGGGGTCGATGGCTCAGCCGTCGGCCGCCACTGGGGGGTCTTAGGTTTTTCCATGAACTCCCCCATTCTGGCTGTTCTGATCTCGGGTGTTCTTGCTGCCTAGCCATTGGGTCGCTGGTTCAACCGGCGGCGCGCGTTGCGGGGGCATGGCGCATTTGCGGCGCCAAGCAGTCAGGGGGCGCGCCCGGCTCCAATGCGATCTGGCTCCTAGTTTGGATTTCCGATCAACGTTGGCAAGTATCAGTCCTCCCATGA